TAGGAGCAAAAGACTGCTGCACAGACTGAGATGATGACGCTCCCTGATTGGCCCTCGAGGCCTGAACAGACTGTGCTGGCTGAAAACTCCGAGTTTGCCTCGAACCAGACACACCCGATGCGGCACTCAACTACGGGCAAAACCTCTTCGGGTGCCCTGCCTGACCACACTGATAATAAGACAGTGGCTGACCTCTGCCATGACTCTGGCTCTGAGGTCGAGCCGAAGATGAAGCAGCTCTCTGACCTCCTCCCCTCTGCGGGCAGGCTAGAGACTTGTGACCCAGCTGGCCACATTTGTAACAAGTAATGTCTCCCTGACTGTCTCTCTCAGAACCTGCACTCGGCATTGGAAAGGTAGATCTAGCAAAACCACTTTGAGACTGCTGAGGGTTAGAACCCCTCTGTCTCCTGCCATCACCCTAGCCATCCTCACTCCTCTTGGAGCCCCTCAACCTCTCCTCCTCCTCATGCATCATAATCTCCATATGTGCCGCAGCGTCCACAAGGCACCTATACTCCCGAGACATAGACCCGCCAACTCTCATCTTAAGCCCGTGCCTCAATTTGCTCTCAAACTTGAGACAACGGCGTTCTTCTAACGCCACAAGCTCAGGTGCAAACCTGGATAGACTAGTAAATGCGGCCTCAAACTCGACTCCTAATGAACTCAGCTGCTTTAGCTGGCAGAACTGATCTCTCAACTTCTCCCTGACAGCGGGAGACAGAAACTTCTCTTGGAAAGCATCTACAAAGGCCTCCCAAGTGCCACCAATACTACCCCTCGTGAACTTCCACCATTGACCCGCATCCCCCTTTAGCTGGAGGGACGCCAAGTTCACATTCAAAGCCCTGTCTTCGATGCCAAGCATCTCAAACGTCATAGTTATTTGCTCCAACCACTCATCAGCCTTAAGTGGCTCTTTCGGATCCCCTAAAAACTCATCCGGATTAGACCGGAAAAACTCCCTCTTTAGAAAGGAAGGCCCTGCATCAACAACCTGGGCTTGAACTGGAGCCTGAACTGGATTCTCAGCTCTGAGCATACCCATGGATTCCATGAATGCTCCTACTATCTCGCGGGCTAAGGCACCCATGGCCTGCTGACCTACTGGCTCGGCCACATTGGCCTGGCCAACACCCTCCTACTGTGCCGGAATCCCATCCGGTAAAGGCATCTCCTGCCTACCACACCTACCACGTCTACCTCCACATCCTCATCCTCATCCTCGTCCTGACATCCTAATGAAGGTAACGAAGAACATTAGCACATTTATAAATGTGCCGAAGCTATAACACTCACGTCCTAATACAATGGACAACTGTAATTCATTCCACGTAAGCACATAATCACATAAGCACTTACGAATTCCATTTCCGGATAATGACAGTCCCGAGGCGTTGCTAGAGTTCCAGTTAGAAACAGCATTGATTAAGTGCTTTTCCAAAAGGACTCCCAGAAACCCAAGGATTCAATCAATATCCTAGAAACTAAATCCCATACCCAAGTAGTCACATAAACATGTTATCACATAAGCACATAACATTACACTTAAGTCTCTATCAAGCGAGACAAACCCATTGTGGTACTAACCACTTCCCGCGTACCCAAAGTATTCGAACCCGGTACGCTCTGATACCAAGTTGTAACGCCCTCAAAATAATACATAAAACCCACCATTCCTAACATGCATTGATGTTCAAGAAATAAACACTTTTCCATTCATCAGAGTAGTCCTTACAAAGGTATTACATGTTGACAACAAAAGTAAATGCCCAACGGCTTACAACTTTCTAAGCCAACACTTGGTTACACAAAAGAGAGTACTAACTCATATCATATTAAGCCATTGGCCTGAATTTACATGTAATACAACAAAAGATAACAAAACAACAAAAGAGTCTTCAACTCCCAAAACCTTCCAAGCTATGTCCTTGGAGGTGGCATATCACCTGGACCTGAAAATGATGTCCCATATAGGGTGAGCCACAGCCCAATAGAGATATACTAAACCAAATATAAACAATGACTAAAACAATAGCATTTGATAGATGGTTAACACTTATAAAATCAGTTATATCTCAATACAGTTCCATGACACTTGTGTCCATGTTACATTTCATTTTCCTTTACTTATCAACTCATTCCATAAACGTGGCTCAGAACCTGCCAAGATAATTTAATAACAACTCGTATGAAACACTTCTTACTTCACAATAGATACACATAATTGCTGTATCAATCTCAAACAAAACACTTCCATACTTCATATATGATATACAGATTTACTATATCAATACGTCAATAGATACACATATTTGCTGTATCAATGGAGTACATCCCCTATCTCTTCCCAAACAATGTCCGGTTTAGGAGTCCATCCCCTATCTTCCCCTAAACCGTAGAGTACATTCCCTATAGCCTCCCACACAACACAATGTATATAAACACATATCATATACAAGGCCAATCAATACATAAATTTGATGTATTCTTCCAGCTGCCATAATTAATGACATATTCAATTGATTAGTTTTAGTTCGCCTAATCATCATGCATTGCCTACAACATTCAAGATTATCCTCCACCGATAGCCCAAAGCAGTTATTTCTAAACAGAAATTAAAAGCACCAAATGGATATAATATCAACATTTTCATAGGTGCGTGATAAATTAATCCAACTACACCATTTAATCTCGTACTTTTCCAATTTCAATATTCTCAACTCAATTTCTCATTTCCCAAAATTAATTATATAAATTAATTTATCATAATAATTAGGGCATTTTCCCATATTTCACATATCAACCCTAAGGTTTGATTTCACCAATACAACAACATTAATCCCATTTTTGTTGGTCTCATACACCCATAGGAGTTAACACTTTGAAAACCCCCTTTTCTATAATTTGCAAATCAATCCCTAACTTTTCCAAAATTACCAAACAACCCCAACTTATCAAAATGTCAAAAATTAAAGACAAAGCTCATAAGATGGAGTAGGGTATCCCTACCTCAAAATGAAGAGCTCAAATGGAGAAGATGACCAAAATCCAAAGTGCTCCAAATTCAAGATTTTTCAGATTAAAACGAAGCCCAAGCCACTCTCTATCTTTCTTACAAAGAACCTAGGGTAGAAACACACCTAAACTAGATGAATCCCTAGAGAGAGAGTATGTAGAGAGAGAGAGAGAGCTTGGATCTAGGGTTTACAAAAAAAAAGAGATGAAAAAGTGAAGTGTTTACTCGCTGCTGCCTACTGATATAACACAGGCTCGCTCGAGCGAAGGATTGGTCACTCGAGCGACCAGATACAAAGAACCCTCGCTCGAGCGAAGAAAGCTCGCTCGAGCCAACAATTCGAAGCTTCATGTCTGCAACCCAGAAGCACGCTTGAGCGACAGAATGCTTGCTCGAGCGAAGAAACTCAAAACATACACCTTGCTCACTCGAGCGAAGAAAAGTTCGCTCGAGCCAAGAAATGCAACTCTCAGGTTCAGAACCAGACGCAGACGCAAGCTTGAGCGAAGAACTTCTTGCTCGAGCCACCAGATACAAAACTCAACTCTCGCTCGAGCGAACAAACCTTGGCTCGAGCGAAGGATCTAAAACAAGGAGCTTGCTCGAGCGACAAAGTTCTCGCTCGAGCGAAGACACTAAAATCTGGGCAGCAACCATTTATTTCCAAACACACCCAACCTGTAACAAACCTGCCTAACACATCCTATAACTCAAAAATAAGGAATTAAAGGATGACAACAAAATATATACAACAACGAGTTCCACGGAACCTAAGTCCGGATACAATAACCAAATGGGGAAAGACCGGGATCGCTATAATTTTAGCCTTTTCAATTTATCGTGCTTGTCATTAAACAAAAGGATGGTTTTTATTTTATTTAAACTTTTTTTAAAACACACTTATCATTCATTTTTTCAGATGCAATTGTAATAAATTAAATAGGCTAAGATTATTGGATCGATCTTGTTTTTTAGATGATATACACTAAGGACTTTACAAAATGAAAATTTTAAATCATCAAAACATGGCCCATGGTGGACTCCCACAGCCCCGAAAGGCACCCTTGTTGGCCATGTATTGATTTGTGTATTTATTTTGAATGTTTCATATTTTCAAATTTAATACTTTGACATTTGCTTGAATATTACTATCTAAAAACTTGAAAAAATAAAATAGTAAAATTCAAGGTTTTAAATAAACCTCAAATGGTGTGTTTTTATAAGGGTTTTGTCTTTTCTGTAGTTGAAAGTTCAAATGGAACATACAGTTAAGGTCTCTTACTGATAACAGTCATTAAACGGAGGTCTCCTACCAGTAAGAGTTTATGAAATGCATTGGCCCATTATTTTAACTCTTCGTTAAGTTAAATCTTTTCATAAACTCGCAGCGGTAAGAGACCTCCGTTTAATGACTTTTATCGGTAAGAGATCTCAACTGTTTGGTCCAGTTGAAATTTCAATTGGAGACAAACGATTCCCTTTCATAAAATCGTAAAACATAGATTATCAAAGTCAAATAGAAAAAATCACGATGAAATTTGAAAATAATGTGACGCCTGATTTTCTCTCATTTTGTACTTTTAATCTGCCGAACCCATCAATTTTGAGAAATGGTGGATTTATAGTTGGTTGAAATTTTCTTAATATATCCAATTGATGATTTGTTGTCAAAATAATCAAACCAACTCGTGCACAACACCTATTGCACAATGAGGACAAAAGGTTGGACCAATGCAACAAAAAGATTTGTTACTTCCAATCTATTATAGTTTCCATTACATAAAACAAAATCATATTAACTGTTATGGAACCAACAATTAAAGTTTTGGCATTAATTGGAACATAGTAAAATCAATTTATTAGACTTCAATTATTGACTAATTAAGACTAACATAAATTTATTGGGCTACATTGTACTGCTTTTTATAATGCTGACCTTGGAGTCTAATGTTTAACAATTATGTTATGAATGTTGCAGGTTACATTCCCTGCCTTGGAGAGATTGGATATTGATAGACTAACAATGATAACAGAGATATGGGAAAGGAAATTACTTCCATCAGAGTCTTTTCGACAATTGAGAAACGTGACCATCCGGAGCTGTGAGAAACTGGTGAATGTCGGTTTGTCCAATATGCCCCGACAATTACCAAATCTAGAACAACTTAAGGTTAGTCATTGTGAGGAGCTGAAAGTAATAGTATTGAAGAATGAGGGGGAAGAAGAAGAAAAAGCAGAAAATAACAATAATACCAACTCGTTCCTTCAACTAACGAGTTTGACACTTAAAGAGTTGCAGAGCCTCAAAAGCTTTTTCACCTCTAGATCAGAAACACAATCCCTCTTCACTAGCCAGGTATGAATGTCCTCATCAGTTTTGGTTGCACATGACCTGTAAAACCAGAAACACAAATGTATATATACCTATATATATATGTATGTATGTATGTATGTATGTATGTATGTATGTATGTATGTCTGTATGTATTTTACTTAGATTAGGCTTCTCTCGTGTCAATAATCTAGACTCAAATGTGTTGTTCGGGCCCGTGGGCCCACTACGACTCTCTTTTTAATTATTTGAACCATGCATTTTTTAGGATTCTTCATTTATATCATCCGCAAAAAAAATTAAATCAATTTGATAATTTTAGCCTTTTCAATTTATCGTGTTTGTTATTAAACAAAAGGATAGTTTTTATTTTATTTGATTTTTTTTTAAAACACATTTATCATTCGTTTTGTCAGATCCAATTGTAATAAATTAAATAGGCTAAGATTATTGGATTGATCTTGTTTTTTAGATGATATACACTAAGGACTTTACAAAATGAAAATTTTAAATCATCAAAACGTGGCCCATGGTGGCCTCACACGGCCCGAAAGGCACCCTTGTTGGCCATGTATTGATTTGTGTATTTATTTTGAATCTTTCATATTTTCCAATTTAATACTTTGACATTTGCTTGAATATTACTATCTAAAAACTTGAAAAAATAAAATAGTAAAATTCAAGGTTTTAAATAAACCTCAAATGGTGTGTTTTTATAAGGGTTTTGTCTTTTCTGTAGTTGAAAATTCAAACGGAATAGACAGTTAAGGTCTCTTACTGATAATAGTCGTTAAACGGAGGTCTCCTACAAGTATGAGTTTATGAAATGCATTGGCCCATTATTTTAACTCTTCGTTTAGTTAATTCTTTTCATAAACACACAGCGGTAAGAGACCTCCGTTTAATGACTTTTATCAGTAAGAGATCTCAATTGTCTGGTCCAGTTGAAATTTCAATTGGAGACAAACGATTCTCTTTCATAAAATCATAGAACATAGATTATCAAAGTCAAATAGAAAAAATCACGATGAAATGTGAAAATAATGTGAAGCCTGATTTTCTCTCATTTTGTACTTTTAATCTGCCGAACACATCAATTTTGAGAAAGGGTGGATTTATAGTTGGTTGAAATTTTCTTAATATATTCAATTGATGATTTGGTGTCAAAACAATCAAACCAACTCGTGCACAACACCTATTGCACAATGAAGACAAAAGGTTGGACCAATGCAACAAAAAGATTTGTTACTTCCAATCTATTATAGTTTCCATTACATAAAACAAAATTATATTAACTGTTATGGAACCAACTATTTTTGTTTTGGCATTAATTGGAACATAGTAAAATCAATTTATTGGACTTCAATTATTGACTAATTAAGACTAACATAAATTTATTGGGCTACATTGTACTGCTTGTTATAATGCTGACCTTGGAGTTTAATGTTTAACAATTATGTTATGAATGTTGCAGGTTACATTCCCTGCCTTGGAGAGATTGGATATTGATGGACTGACAATGATAACAGAGATATGGGATAGGAAATTACTTCCATTAGAGTCTTTTCGACAATTGAGAAACGTGACCATCCGGAGCTGTAAGAAACTGGTGAATGTCGGTTCGTCCAATATGCCCCGACAATTACCAAAACTAGAACAACTTGAGGTTAGTCATTGTGAGGAGCTGAAAGTAATAGTATTGAAGAATGAGGGGGAAGAAGAAGAAAAAGCAGAAAACAACAATAATACCAACTCGTTCCTTCAACTAACGAGTTTGGCACTTATAGCTTTGCAGAGCCTCAAAAGCTTTTTCACCTCTAGATCAGAAACACAATCCCTCTTCACTAGCCAGGTATGAATGTCCTCATCAGTTTTGGTTGCACATGACCTATAAAACCCGAAACACAAATGTATATATACCTATATATATATATGTGTATGTATGTATGTATGTATTTTACTTAGATTAGGCTTCTCTCGTGTCAATAATCTAGACTCAAATGTGTTGTTCGGGCCTGTGGGCCCACTACGACTCTCTTTTTAATTATTTGAACCATGCATTTTTTAGGATTCTTCGTTTATATCATCCGCAAAAAAAATTAAATCAATTTGATAATTTTAGCCTTTTCAATTTATCGTGCTTGTCATTAAACAAAAGTATGGTTTTTATTTTATTTAATTTTTTTTAAACACACTTATCATTCATTTTTTCAGATGCAATTGTAATAAATTAAATAGGCTAAGAATATTGGATCGATCTTTTTTTTTAGATGATATACACTAAGGACTTTACAAAATGAAAATTTTAAATCATCAAAACGTGATCGATGGTGCACTCACACGGCCCGAATGGCACCCTCGTTGGCCATGTATTGATTTGTGTATTTATTTTGAATATTTCATATTTTCCAATTTAATACTTTGACATTTGCTTGAATATTACTATCTAAAAACTTGAAAAAATAAAATAGTAAAATTCAAGGTTTTAAATAAACCTCAAACGGTGTGTTTTTATAATGGATTTGTCTTTTCTGTAGTTTAAAGTTCAAACGGAACAGACAGTTAAGGTCTCTTATTGATAACAGTCATTAAACGGAGGTCTCTTACCAGTAAGAGTTAATGAAATGCATTTGCCCATTATTTTAACTTTTTGTTTATTTAAATCTTTTCATAAACTCGCAGCTGTAAGAGACCTCCGTTTAATGACTTTTATCGGTAAGAGATCTCAACTGTCTGGTCCAATTGAAATTTCAATTGGAGACAAACGATTCCCTTTCATAAAATCATAGAACATAGATTATCAAAGTCAAATAGAAAAAATCACGATGAAATGTGAAAATAATGTGAAGCCTGATTTTCTCTCATTTTGTACTTTTAATCTGCCGAACCCATCAATTTTCAGAAAGGGTGGATTTATAGTTGGTTGAAATTTTCCTAATATATTCAATTGATGATTTGTTGTCAAAGCAATCAAACCAACTTGTGCACAACACCTATTGCACAATGTGGACAAAAGGTTGCACCAATGCAACAAAAAGATTTGTTACTTCCAATCTATTATAGTTTCCATTACATAAAACAAAATCATATTAACTGTTATGGAACCAACAATTAAAGTTTTGGCATTAATTGGAACATAGTAAAATCAATTTATTAGACTTCAATTATTGACTAATTATGACTAACATAAATTTATTGGGCTACATAGTACTGCTTGTTATAATGCTGACCTTGGAGTCTAATGTTTAACAATTCTGTTATGAATGTTGCAGGTTACATTCCCTGCCTTGGAGAGATTGGTTATTGATAGACTAACAATGATATCAGAGATATGGGATAGGAAATTACTTCCATCAGCGTCTTTTCGACAATTGAGAAACGTGGCCATCTGCAGCTGTGAGAAACTGGTGAATGTCGGTTCGTCCAATATGCCCCGACAATTACCAAATCTAGAACAACTTCATGTTAGTCATTGTGAAGAGCTGAAAGTAATAGTATTGAAGAATGAGGGGGAAGAAGAAGAAAAAGCAGAAAACAACAATAATACCAACTCGTTCCTTCAACTAACGAGTTTGACACTTGTAGCTTTGCAGAGCCTCAAAAGCTTTTTCACCTCTAGATCAAAAACACAATCCCTCTTCACTAGCCAGGTATGAATGTCCTCATCAGTTTTGGTTGCACATGACCTATAAAACCAGAAACACAAATGTATATATACCTATATATATATACATATGTATGTATGTATGTATGTATGTATGTATGTATGTATGTATTTTACTTAGATTAGGCTTCTCTCGTGTCAATAATCTAGACTCAAATGTGTTGTTCGGGCCCGTGGGCCCACTACGACTCTCTTTTTAATTATTTGAACCATGCATTTTTTAGGATTCTTCGTTTATATCATCCGCAAAAAAAATTTAATCAATTTATATAATTTTAGCCTTTTCAATTTATCGTGCTTGTCATTAAACAAAAGTATGGTTTTTATTTTATTTAATTTTTTTTAAACACACTTAGCATTCATTTTTTCAGATGCAATTGTAATAAATTAAATAGGCTAAGAATATTGGATCGATCTTTTTTTTTAGATGATATACACTAAGGACTTTACAAAATGAAAATTTTAAATCATCAAAACGTGATCGATGGTGCACTCACACGGCCCGAATGGCACCCTCGTTGGCCATGTATTGATTTGTGTATTTATTTTGAATATTTCATATTTTCCAATTTAATACTTTGACATTTGCTTGAATATTACTATCTAAAAACTTGAAAAAATAAAATAGTAAAATTCAAGGTTTTAAATAAACCTCAAACGGTGTGTTTTTATAATGGATTTGTCTTTTCTGTAGTTTAAAGTTCAAACGGAACAGACAGTTAAGGTCTCTTATTGATAACAGTCATTAAACGGAGGTCTCTTACCAGTAAGAGTTAATGAAATGCATTTGCCCATTATTTTAACTTTTTGTTTATTTAAATCTTTTCATAAACTCGCAGCTGTAAGAGACCTCCGTTTAATGACTTTTATCGGTAAGAGATCTCAACTGTCTGGTCCAATTGAAATTTCAATTGGAGACAAACGATTCCCTTTCATAAAATCATAGAACATAGATTATCAAAGTCAAATAGAAAAAATCACGATGAAATGTGAAAATTTTTCCAATTTAATACTTTGACATTTGCTTGAATATTACTATCTAAAAACTTGAAAAAATAAAATAGTAAAATTCAAGGTTTTAAATAAACCTCAAATGGTGTGTTTTTATAATGGATTTGTCTTTTCTGTAGTTTAAAGTTCAAACGGAACAGACAGTTAAGGTCTCTTACTGATAACAGTCATTAAACGGAGGTCTCTTACCAGTAACAGTTTATGAAATGCATTTGCCCATTATTTTAACTCTTCGTTTATTTAAATTTTTTCATAAACTCGCAGCAGTAAGAGACCTCTGTTTAATGACTTTTATCGGTAAGAGATCTCAACTGTCTGGTCCAGTTGAAATTTCAATTGGAGACAAACGATTCCCTTTCATAAAATCATAGAACATAGATTATCAAAGTCAAATAGAAAAAATCACAATGAAATGTGAAAATAATGTGAAGCCTGATTTTCTCTCATTTTGTACTTTTAATCTGTCGAACCCATCAATTTTGAGAAAGGGTGGATTTATAGTTGGTTGAAATTTTCTTAATATATTCAATTGATGATTTGCTGTCAAAGCAATCAAACCAACTCGTGCACAACACCTATTGCACAATGAGGACAAAAGGTTGCACCAATGCAACAAAAAGATTTGTTACTTCCAATCTATTATAGTGTCCATTACATAAAACAAAATCATATTAACTGTTATGGAACCAACAATTTAAGTTTTGGCATTAATTGGAACATAGTAAAATCAATTTATTAGACTTCAATTATTGACTAATTAAGACTAACATAAATTTATTGGGATACATTGTACTGCTTGTTATAATGCTGACCTTGGAGTCTAATGTTTAACAATTCTGTTATGAATGTTGCAGGTTACATTCCCTGCCTTGGAGAGATTGGATATTGATGGACTAACAATGATAACAGAGATATGGGATAGGAAATTACTTCCATCAGAGTCTTTTCGACAATTGAGAAACGTGACCATCCGGAGCTGTGAGAAACTGGTGAATGTCGGTTCGTCCAATATGCCCCGACAATTACCAAAACTAGAACAACTTGAGGTTAGTCATTGTGAAGAGCTGAAAGTAGTAGTATTGAAGAATGAGGGGGAAGAAGAAGAAAAAGCAGAAAACAACAATAATACCAACTCGTTCCTTCAACTAACGAGTTTGACACTTGAAGATTTGCAGAGCCTCAAAAGCTTTTTCACCTCTAGATCAGAAACACAATCCCTCTTCACTAGCCAGGTATGAATGTCCTCATCAGTTTCGGTTGCACATGACCAGTAAAACCAAAAACACAAATGTATATATACGTGTATATATATATATATATGTTTGCATGTATTTTAAACGCACTTATCATTCTGTTTTTTAGATACAATTGTAATAAATTAAATAGGCTAAGATTATTGGATCAATCTTTTTTTTTTTTTTAGATGATATACACACGGACTTTACAAAATGAAAAATTTAAATAATCAAAATGTGACCTGTGGTCGACTTCCACTACCCAAAAGGCACCATTGTTGGCCATGTATTGATAACGTTTATTTATTTTGAATCTTTCCAATTTAATACTTTGACATTTGCTTGAATATTACTATCTAACAGCTTGAAAGAATAAAATAGTAAAAATCAAAAAGTTTATCCCTAAGTTGAGTTGTCATAGTTCATATAATATTTTCCTTTTTTGGGGTGCGTGTAACAAAAATAATGCCACCATTTTATTGCTTTAGGCTATGTTTGGTTCATAAATTTGACCAAAGATTTGGAAAGTAAAAAGGAAAAGATGTGTGAAATTTAGTTATATTTCAAAACCTAACAAAATTACAAAAATGTAGAACAACGTAACAAAGAACCAAACAAGACCCTAGTAGAACATACTTAAAACATGATGACGAGATTAGTATCAAAAATAGAGAACGATGAGGGACTTTTGTGGGACGGATGGCTTTTGTGAACACGATCTACGTGTGGTGTGGGGCCATATCTTCTGTAGGGCCTAAAGTTGGACTTAACATCTCTTAAATAGAAACCTAAAACATCTCCAAAGGCACAACAAAATATTTTTCAAGTTCAATTTGAAAAATTTAATGAGTTTAAAAATATATTTGAGTTGGTCTTTTTTTTTTTTTTTATCAACAAAAGATGATCTTCGTTTACCATTTGAGCCGAACACAAATGAGCTTTAATCAAACTGAGTTCAAATAACTTGATATTGTATTATACATTTAAGTTTATGGAACTAAGTTCGAGCCGAACTCAAAAAATTGATGATAAGTTTCAAAATATGTTCAATTTTAACTTATTTATATAGTGAGTCGTTCTTAAAATAATTTTAATGTGCCCAACATAAGTGGAGTTCAAATAACTTCATTTATTTTACCATCTAACTTAAATAGATATGTCAAGAAAATGAATATTAAATTAAATAAGAAATTATCAATATAAAAATAATCAAGGCACGTGGTGAATTTTTAAAATAAAATTTTCTTCTTTTTCATAGGTCTAAAACTCAAATCAACAACATAATTTACCTTACCTAACAAATAACCAATAAAATTATGGAACACAGATTATTAAAGGAAAATAGATAAATAATGATGAAAGATGGAAAACAATGTGAAGAGCTAACAACAAAAGATGCTTTAGTTAATAATTAGATACTCTAAATATTTGAGAAGAATATGCAGATATGCAGTTATCAATTTGCTTGCCTGTTGCTCTTCATTTGCACATAGCCACAAGTACCAAAGCTCATACATGATTAGAGCATGCCTTAAGGTATTTGATATATATAGGTTCACTGATTCTCTTTTGGGCCCTCAACTCAAAATTTGCAAGTTTGTTTGGAATAAGAGTATTCCCCCCAAAGTTCAATTTTTTGGTTGGTTGGTTAGCTTGTAGGAATAGAGTTAAAACAGGGGATCTTTTACAAAATACCGGTGTCCTTCATAGCAGTGCCTCTGTCTTATGTGCCTTTTGCAAAACTGAAAATGAATCTGCCACTCATGTCCTCTTACGTTGTCCTTTTTCATGGAAAATATGGTCTGATTTGCTGCTATGGTGGGGGTGTTTTGGGGTGGTGACAAGGTCTATTGATTGTTTATTTCATTGGTGGTTAGGTTGGAATCATAAGAAATTGGTTAGGAGATTGTGGAGGGCTTTACCTTCTATTGTTTTGTGGTCCATTTGGAAGTTAAGAAATGACTGTATATTTAATGGAGTGCAGCCTTGTGGGTCTGAGTTATGTGAGCTTATTAAGTTGAGATTTGCTCTGTGGGTTAAAGCTTCTGCAAAGGGGTTCATCTACTTTGTCTTGGATTTAATCAACAATCTGGATCAGATTAAGGACTGTAGTTGAGGGATATTAGGTGGTTTGGTAATTTGTTCTGCCACCACTTGGTTTGCTGTTATCTAGTTGGTTTTCTGCTGTGATCTGCTCTGTTATCTGCTGCTTTCTGTTGCCTCATGTTGTCCACCATGGTGAGCTGTTTAGCTATTTTGAGGTCTGCTGGGGAGGTTGTTATGAGGTATTGGGTGGCATTTTGGAGTTGTTGATATAGATGCTGTTTTGCTGTTTGCTGATTGGGTGACACCTGCTTCAGTTGACTGAGTTTTGTATTGCACGAAGATTCTTTTGGTCACTTCTGGACTACTAGTTCTGTTGTATTTGTATCAGTGCTGTCATACTTGCTAATTCTGGTTTAGTGTTGTCGGTGTATCTGTTGGTCCCTCACCAACAGATTCTTGATTGGCGCTGTCATATGATTGTATGGGCTGCTTAATGCCAACCTTGTTGGGATTGAGTGGTTTCACTATGATGGCCTTTGCATCATCCCCCCCACCCCTCCCCCACCTTTATGGATGTCTACCATCCTTTCTTGTAAGGTTTTCTCTCATCAAATTTGTATTGATAAAAAAAAAATGATTAGAGCATGCATGTTGAAAGTGTTGCAATTTTCAATTGTTGCTTATCCACCATTTTGTAACAGTCACTAACCTAAAGTGTTGTAAACTACTTTACAGGTTGCTTTCCCAGTCTTGAAGTATTTGGAAATTCAGAAATTGCCTACCATAATAGAGATATGGGACAAGCAATTACTCATAGCTTCAGAAAAAGAATCAAAGTCCTTCTACCAACTGAAAGATATGACGGTTTCTGATTGTAAGAGATTGGTGCATGTGGTTCACTTCAATATGCTCCCACGACTGCAAAATCTGAACATATTCAGGATAGATAATTGTCCAAAGGTGGAAGCGATAGTCTCAGAGAAAGAAAAAGAAGAAAGAACCACCAATAATGATATCATCGTGTTCTCTCAATTAACAACTCTTGTTCTTTATGATTTGGTGAGCCTTAAAAGTTTCTACAACTGGCCTACAAAATCTGAAGCACAACCCTTGTTCAACCACCAGGTTTGATTTTCCCTATTTATTTTATTATCCTTGGCCATTGGAAAGCGTGCACACACAAAAAAAATTTAATTCCTTTTCAATTACAATTTTAAATTTGAAGCTTATTTGAATATTCTCTTTCTATCCAAATCCAAATAAAAGTAAAATAATTTCAAGGTGGATATGCTAGGGGCTTTCAATGGAAATTACAATATTACCCAAACAAAAATATGTATGAATTCTAGACTTAACACTATGTTTTTATTTTGAATATGAATCTTAATATGATTTTATTTGACTAAACTTATGTCCAAAATTGTAATTTGCCTAATCTTGACTTGGAGTTCATTAAAAAAATATTTAAATATTGGATGTCATATTTTGTTTTTTTGGTTTTGACTGATATGATTTTATTTTGTTTCACAATCCAAAATAATTCCCTCATAACCACTTTAAATTTAGATTGCAATTTCCCGATCATCAATCCTCAATTGCCTTCCTTTGGAATTACGCCTCTTGGGTTTCAGGGAAATGATATCAATTTCTACATGATTCCTAGTTGTAATATTTGAATATGGAAAAATCACTATTATAATTTCTTCTAAAATCTCAAAAATATTGAGCAATCCCTATTATAGGAGGTCACAGATCAACTCCCACAACTTTACCATTATGAAAATGTTAACTTGCCCCTGCCCAAAACATCTTAGGAAACTTCATGGAAGTTCAATCCCGACCATTGATCCAATTTTAAAACTACATTAATTGATGGACTATGCATGCTGGCTTGAGTTGTTACTAGTAATTAATCAATAACAGCTTAAAGCTCAATCTTCTCTACTTTAGTGCTATATTTATTAACGGCCAATCTTGCTATATCAATGTCAAGAACACAAAAACTAACCGAAATTATTTAATGTTCTGGGAGACAAAAGGTTAAGTGTTAATTTGTAAATGGAATAAAGCAATCCTCCAAAAACTAAACACATAATGAAATATAGATATCATATAATTGGTGAGATCCCAAGGATGGATTTAGGGGGTGTGGAGGGAGGCGACCGCGCCCCAAAAATTTAGAAAATATCATATATTATGTTAGAAAATTTAAAATAATAAGGATTTACACCAAATATATGTGAGATCTACCTTTTATGAGATATGTGTATTTCATTTTTTGTTTTGTTTAGTCAAGCCTTCATGCCATGCTATGTGGCAGCTTTATCTAGCCTAAAATAAAAAAATTGTAATTCAAACGTGTGATCATCGTTTGATCCCAAGATTTTGAGTTTCATTAAGAACAATCTTACCACTTAAGCAACATACATATTATGATATTAAATTCTTTATGATTTATTTTTATTCTTACTTATCTGAATTACACACGCATTGCGTGTGTCACTTGCTAATCATTATTTACATGATTTATCATTTCTAATAAACAAATATGTACATACACACATATATATATATATATTTATTTATTTATTTATTTATTTTGAACATTTGGATATAAATTTAGAAAGACAGAGGGAAATAAATAAATAAATAAAAATTTAATTTATATTTTATTGACATTGCTGTTACATTTTTTTTTTCAAAAAATCTTTACTTAAATTTATAATCCGTACATAAAATAAATTTTGGCTCATCAATATGAGAAACATGTCTCATCAGTCATCACTAACGTTGAATTCCAATATACAAGCCTACTTCATTCTGTTATTAAGCAAGATGCCAAAATGAATCTTTGTAGGTTTCTTTTCCAAGGTTGGAGACACTAATTCTCAATAATTGTGTAAACTCAAGAGAGATACATCCTTGGAATGTTCAGGCTGGCAAAATAAGTTTAAAATTCTTGGACGTAGCGAATCTGAACTTATTAATTGTGAGAAATTGTAGTGAGGTGGCAGAGGTTTTTCAACTTGAGGGGCTAAATGTTGGAGAAGGACAACATGTTAGGCCATTAATTGAAGTAAGAATGATGGAATTGGATGGATTACCTTCGTTGACATGTTTGTGGAACAAGGATCCCCATGGAATTCTGGACCTTCAAATCCTACAATACCTAACAATTAAGAAATGTTCCCTCCTGAGAAATCTATTCACATGTTCCACCGCCATGGCTCTTCAACAACTTAAAGTACTTTATTTGGAGTCTTGTCCGGTGATGGAAGAAGTTATTGCAGCAACAGAGGATGGGCTCAAGGAAGTGATTGATGATGTGATTGAATTCCCAAAGTTGGAGGAGCTAATACTGAAAGATCTACCAAACCTCAACAGTTTCTGTAATGCAAACTATAATTTTAATTTACCATCATTACAGAGAGTTTTTTTGAAGAGGTGCCCGAAGATGCATAACTTTTCTTCTGGACAAGTACACATGTCACAGATATTTGTAAGTACACGTGGCAATGAAGGCCTTCAGATAAAAGATCTCAATAAGTATTTAGAGGAACGACTTCTGAAAGGAGAGGTAGACTTTCTTTTTCAACTTGATTTACGATTAATTATTTTTGTCATTTGATGAACTCTTTTATCTTTGAATATTTACAAGAGACTACTCAACTGGAGTGCTTCACATGTATTTTTTGTTTATATGTATTTTACTTTCTTTTCTTTTAGGAATGTGCAACCGTGGATTAAAATAATTGCCACGACAACGAAGAACAATTCTCCTACCTTGGATGGCTATATGAGTAAAGTAAGTTGATCATCTCCTTTATTATTTATATACATGTATAAATTTCATAATATTTATAGGAAAATTTTATAATAAACATGTTTAAAAAAAATGTATCATACGTCCAGTTATGATTTATCAACTGAATATAATAAGTTGATCCTCCTTTTTTTTTTAAAAAAAAAAATAGGCAAATTACGATGGTGGTCCCTATATTTTGCTTTTTGTGTCATTTTGGTCTCTACACTTTCAATTAACTCAATTTTAATTCCTAATTTTAGATTTTATTTTAATTTGTCCAATTAATAATATTGTTAGTTTTTTTAAGGAAAATTATCACTAAATTGATTGAGGTTAACTAACTGAGTTGAATAAGTTTATAATTTTACCTTTAAAAATATGGCACGTGACACGTACATGCTTATTTTTCATTAAAAAAAAAAACTAACAGTTGTAATCAATTGAATCGAATTGAGGCAAAATCATAAATGCAAGGTCAAAATCGAGCAAATTGAAAGTACAAAGACTAAAATGACACAGGGGTAAAGTACAGGGACTACTGTCGTAATTTGTCCAAAATATATAGGTATATATAGGGTAATGCTACCATATACAAGTTATATCATTTGTGAGTTTGATTATCACAGATGACATAACTCAATAGTTTGAGAATCATAACAAATAATAATAATAGTAATAATAATAATAATAACAATAATAATAATAATAATTTGAGTTATAACCAAACATCACATGAGATATAACCAAACAACTCTTGAATCATAACAAAATAATTTCATAACCAATATCACAATGTGTCATAATTAACAACACAACAAGGCATAACCAAAGACACAAAGGTGAAAACCAAAGCATAGAATTTCCCTATATTATATATATACATATCTCATAATATTTATAAGGGAATTCTATATAACACTTTAAAAAATGATGTATTAAATGCCTGACTTTTTGTGGTCTTTAACTATAACTCATTTAGTTATAATTACTTATAGATGTTATTTTAGTTAGAACCGAAGAAATCTACAATAATACTTCAAGTGATATTTGATTATGATGCATTTTGGTGTTGGTTATAACTCGTAATGCTGGCCATAATTTAGTTATAACTTACTGTAATTGTTATTTTGGTTTAACCGGAGAATTTATTGGTTATATCTAAAGTGAGATTTAATTATGATTTATTATGGTCCTTCTACTTATGATTGAAAGTTTATATTAAAATCACAAACAATATCTTAACTTGCATGTGGTACACTCCAAAATAGGAATGTGTATTGTAGAAGCTCTTTTTATTCAGCATGTTTGGTGCAACTGGTAACCTAAAAGTTTTTTTTTGGATGGGTAATAAGCTAAAAGTTGATAACAAAAAAAAAAAAAAAAAATCCCCTCCTCCATCTCCTAAATAGTCTTCTTTTGTTTTTAGTTTATTTAAATTTTTTCGATTATGTAATATATGAATAGAAGGTTCACCAAATAATCTAACACATTTTTAAAATAAAAAATATATATATTGTAATAACTCAAATAATCTGTACCAAATACCCTATTATAATATTGCTAAATTCCTGACACGAACAACTTTTTAATGTATATTTATATATATATATATATATATCTATATGACAAGTAATTGATAGAATCATTGGCAGCCAGCAAACCTTTTTCCTATTAGGACACTCTCTGTTACCTTGGTGCAACTTGAGTTCAGGTTAACTCTGTTACTGTAGGCTATGTTAAAAAAATCATGAATTTGTGGAGGGATTGTGGATTCAAATAATTAAAAAATGAAAAAATAAGAAGAAAATTAAGTAAAATCAACTAAATTTATTTAATCTTTTTTTTTCTTTTGATAAATATGCTATGTAGAAATTTAATTATTCCAATCATAAAATAAAGTAAAATACAAAAAACAAAACACATAACACAAGATATACATGATACGTTCTAGTCCTCTCCCTTCATAAAAACAAAAAACTCCTGACAGTAAATCTGAACATATAGTAAAAAATAATAGATACCTCAAAATTCAAAATCCAAACAAATTGTTAAGATTTGAGTCCCTTTATTAAAAATTTCCCGAAAAAGAAAACTAATCAAAAGGTACTTGTACATATTAATTCAATTAGAGAAATTATTTGAATTTTTATTTTATTCTTCACAAATTGCTTCTCAAATGCAAAATCTAAAAGTCCATATTAAAATTAAAAAATTTTGAATTTTGTTTTCTTAAATTCAAAATGCTTTTTGTAATTATAGAATCTTCATGCATCTTCCAATAATTTTTTTTGTATATTTTGTTTTACTTTAACTCCGTCAATATTTTGGTGTGCAGTTATATATGATCAAGTTCAAGTTGCTGAGATTGGAGTATGCTGGATTACCCTCCTACAGTTAATGGCAAACTTATTGTTTCTTCCAATAAGTTAAAAAGCAAAAAAATAAAAAATAAATTGTTAGATGATTTCTAATTTCTGTCATTTGTGTCTACGTTATCATAATTAGTGTGTTTATTGCAAAACTATTCAGCTACCTAGCTGTATAAGAAATGAAATCTGTGTGTGTGTGTGTGTGAATATGTGCGGTAGTAATAAACCTAAATGTAATGTCAAAGTACTCTATCTTGGTTCTTAGACTTCCTGATGAGATAGAATTTGCATGATTTTGGAGGCTAGGTATGCTAATTATGTGGGATATACACTTGCAGGGTATTTTATTTATTTATTTATTTTTGTTGGGATTTTATTATTATTTTTTTATCAGCAAAAAAAACATGAGCTATTTTGTTAGGATTTCATAATCATAATTCTATTGAAAGAAACATGGATGAACATGTTTTATAATTTGGCTGGGTAAACTAGCTTGGCCATGGAGAAATATTGTCAATCCATTTTAGCTGAGACTCAACATGGAGATTGGTAACAAATTTAGCCATAAAAAAAAAGATACTTGCATAAAAACAGATCTTAGAATGCGTTAGTGAATATATATATATATATATATATGGAAATTGGTCTTCATAAAGGTCCAATACATTTTAATTGTTTTCCTGATTTTACACTTAGTTTACGTGATCCACATATTTTAGATGCATTAACATTAAATGTAACGCCCTCAAAATAAACCCATAATATCATACATTCAAGGTACAGAAAAGAGATATTATATTACAATCATTAGAGTATTCTTACAAAGTGTATTACATGTTGACAATAAAAGCAATTGCCCTATGGGCTTACAACTTTCCAAGTCAATACTTGGTTACAAAAAGAGAGTGCTAACTCTACACAAAATAAGCCCTAGGATCGACATGCATGTAATACAACAAAAACAACAAAAGGTAGTCTAACAGCCTCAAGTCTCCCAAGCTGCGTCCTTGGAGGTGGCATCATACCTGTACCTGAAAATGATGTCCCATATAGGGTGAGCCAACGCCCAGTAGAGATATGCTAAACATAATATGAACAATAACTAAAACATTAGCATTCAATAAATGTTTAACTTAGTTATATCCGCTTATAACACATTTCAACTCCATGACTAAGATGTCCATGAGCTATTCCATTTTCCATTTATTACCAATACTCAATTGACAACTATGGCTCAGAGCCTGGCCAAACAATTTAAATGAGACCACGTCTCATATCAACAGTATTTCTATTTCAGGTGAGATATAAACTCATACTCAACATTTCATACTTCACAATAGATACACGTTTTGGTGCTGTATCTATAGCGATCCCGGTTGTCCCTTTACTGTTCTGTTGTATTCCGAACTCGATTCCGTGAAGTGGTAGTGGTATCTACCTTGTTGTCGTCTTTTAATTCCCCTTGATTGAGTTTTAGGATGTTTTGAGGAAGGTTGTTACAGGTTGGTTAGGCCTTGGTTTCAATTCCTTGTTGTTTAGTTTTTAGGCGGTCCGCTCGAGCGGGTCTTCTTGCGCTCGAGTGGAGATTGCACACTTCCAGTATTTTCGTGTTCCTACAAAACTTCTGCAGATGTGATTTTTACGCTTGAGCGGGTTTGTTGATGCTCGAGCGGTGGCACTCGAGCGGGTCGGTTGGCGCTCGAGCGGGTGGTACTTCCAGAGTATAAGTTCTGGGAGGGGGAAATCTACGCTCGAGCGGACTGGTTTTTGCGCTCGAGCGGATGTGCTTTATTCTTGTGTCTTGGCGCTCGAGTGGGCCTTATTGCGCTCGAGCGTGTCCAGATTTTTGTTCTTGGCGCTCGAGCGGGTCATACGTATATGAGTTATCCGCTGGGTGATTTCAAATCACTTTTTGCTTTTCTTTCTCTCTCCTACTTTTTCTAAAAACCATTTTCAGAGCTTCTCACTCTAGAACTGGCCCTTCTCTCTTAGATTTGATCTAGTAGGAGTTGTTTGCTCACTTTTGGTCTTTACGAAAGTTGTGTTGATCGTCGAGGGCTACATTTTAATCTGAAAATTTCGGAATTTGAAGCATTTTGGTTTTGGTCTTCATCTCCATTGGAGCTCAAACTTTGAGGTAGGGATATCCTACTCCTCTTTATGAGTTTTGTCTTTAAATTTTAGCATTTTGATATGTTGGGGGTTGTTGGGTAATTTCGTGAAAGTTTGGGGCCTTTGTGTAAATTTACAAAAGTTGGGGTTTTAGCTACATAAAGCCTAGATGCATGTTTGGCATGGAAAAAGTGAAATAAATGTTACGACATTAATGAAAATGGAACCTAAGGGTTGAAATGTAGATTATGGAAAATGCCCTAATTACATTGACTGATTAATTTGTATAATTAATTGTTGGAAATGAGGGATTGAATTGAGAGTGAGGAAATTGAAAAAGGAGGGGATTAGAGGGTGTAGTTGGATCATTTATCGCTCACCAAATTGAAATGTTGATTTAATATCCATTTTGTGCATTTATTTTCTGTTTAGAAATAACTGCTTTGGGCTATCGGTGGAGGATAGTCTTGATTGTTGTAGACAATGCATGATGATTAGGCAAACGGAAACTAATCGATTGAATGTGTCATAGAATATGACGATGGATTGAATACATTAATTTTATGTATTGATTGATTGTGTATAGAACCTTTGTGTTTATATGCATTGTGTATAGAGGAGGAGATGGGGGATGTACTCCGCGGTTTAGGGGAAGATGGGGGATGTACCTCTAAACCGGATAGTGTTGGGAGGAGATGGGGGATGAACTCCGTAGATACAGCTCATATGCTTTTAAAAAAATAACCATTAAAATAGTAAATAAAAAAGATTATTTAGAATCATTGAACAAACTACAATCACATTTTATGTAAGATAGGAATATACTATCTGAGGCATGATATATAAATCCATTTATGCAAGATTAATGAACAGATTGAACTTTCTTGTGATGAACTCCGTAGACAACAGTCATATGCTTGTCTGGAGAAGTGAAGATCCAGCTCATATGCTTATCTTTGTTGTTAGTGTAGATTACAAGCTCATATGCTTGTCTAGTGAAGTGTAGATACAGCTTCATATGCTTGTTCTAGTGAAGTGTGGGATAAACTAATATGCTTATCTGGTTGATGTGTAATATGCTTATCTATCTGGAATGTTGATATAGCTCATATGCTTATCGGATTGTAGTTATTGATATGGCTTATATGCTTATCTGTTGTAGTAGTGGATGTAGCTCATATGCTTATCTATTGAAAAGTTGGTTGATTTGATAAGCGCTAAAAGTATATCATCATCGTTTGTGAAGTATGGAAGTACGTTTATGTGTTACTTGATACAACACCAAATGTGCATCCACCGTTGATTTTGAAGTGTTCTAGTGATGAACTATTAATCTCATCAAAATGTTTGCCAGAGTACTGAGCCCTTTTTTTCAAACTCAAAGTTGAATAAGAAATGAAAGTGAATTGTAACGTAGCTTGCGTTGTCATGGAATAAAATAAGATGTAAATGGGAGGTGTTAAGTATCGACCACTTTCAGTTGCTTAATGCTTTTTAGCATTGCTTTATAATTGGTTTAGGTATATCTCTGCCTGCGGCTGGCTGACCCTATATGGGAACCTCATTTCAGGTACAGGCTAGCATACCACCTCTGAGGACATTTAGCTTGGGAGGCTAGGGGCCAAACATTACTTTTGTTGCCTTTATTTTCCTTTTGATGTATTACATGAAAATTCAAGCCAAGGCAATGTGTAACGAGTCAATACTCTCTTTTTAACCTCCAGTAGCTAACGTGAAAAGTTGTAAGCCGTAGTAGGTGCATTACTTTTGTTGTTAACGTGTAAATACTTTTGTAGATGAAAGTACTACTGATGAAAATGTGGTCCTTTATGTAGTAAATGTATGATTTAATTGATGCGTTTACATGTTATTATTATGAGGGCCTTACTATAGGGCATTTCAACTTTGTTAACATGTAAATACATTTTGTAAATCGAATTACTCTGATAAAATCGTGATTAGGCTTCATTCTCTTATGTTAAGCATGTCAAGAATGTATATTTTATGGGTTTATTTTGAGGCCGGTTACATATTAAAGCCCTTGGCTTGAATACATTGTAATACAAAAATAATCACAAAAGTTAAGGCCTTTCTGCTTTTCTACAACCTTCCCAAGCTACATCCTTGGTGGCAGCATATCACCTCACCTGAAAATGATGTCCTATATAGGGTGAGCATAAGGCCCAGTAGCGATATGCTAAACCAATATGAGCAATAACTAAAACCATTAGCATTTGATAAATGATTAACTTCATCTACTAAACAAGCGTGAACATCATGTTCTATAACCAATCCATAATTCACAAATATATTGCAATCTCTTTTGTTTCATTGTCCAAACCAATTCATAGATATGGAATTCTCACTGATTCATCCAGACCGTTATAATGAGACTACAAACTTATAATTAACAATACTGTCGATCATGATTCACTTAATATGAGACCTACATACTCCACCATTTATAATAACAACACTTCAATTCATATTCAACATTTCAAAATGCAGACATACAACTATATATAATTAACAGATTCATACTTCAATTCACGGCTACGTTATGCAAACGCAATTGGATTTGGGACTTTCACCTGGAACTCCCACACGGCAAACTTAGTTATCACGGAGTCCATCCCCCTATACTCTCGCACCAAACCAACATACATTGAGAGTACATCCCCTATCTCCTCTCAAACCATGGAGTACATTCCCGTATCTCCTCCTAACAAGATACCCCTTATACAATGTATTACCCACACTATATTCATATACAATGATTAATTTAGTACATATTAAATGTGTTAAATCAACGCGTCACCTCATATCAATGACATAACTCATTTGATTAGTTTTAGTTTATTCCTAATCAACATTACAGTGTCTATCAAACAATCCAAGACTTCCTCCACCGAATAGCCAACCCCAATTATTTCATAAATAGATAATAAAATTCATCAAAAATAAATTATCAACAATTTTATAGTGTGAGTGATTAACTAATCCAACTACACAACATTCAATCTCCATAACTTCCCATATTTCATAATTTCAACCCATTTCTATTTCCATATTCCCCAAATTAATTATACAAATTAATCATAATTCACATTAAATTAGGGCTTTTCACCCATTTCTCAACAATTGATCCCGAAGACACAATTTCCACCAAATTCGACTCACACCCAACCCTCATCCCAAGGCTTCATAGCACATGGAGCTTTAAGAACCACAAAACCCTGCTTTATATTAGTATTCCAATACAAACCCTAACTTCCCAAATTAGCAAAACATCACCATTATACAAAAATGAACTAAACATATTAGTCAAAACTCGTAAGTAAA